ATGGCATGATGAGATAGTGACTATATGAAATACAGTTCCTGGAAAGGAAATGTTTCTTTTATATAATCACGCAGTAGTACACTGACGGTACAGTATCTCTGTCCATTTTAGGTCTCGTGACCTAACAAAGTCCATATGTTAAATTCCATTATGTTCAGAAAAAATACCTGTACAATAGTAAAAAAAGAAAAATATTAGTATGAAGCATATAAACACAAGTGAAAGTAGAAAACTCTAATTTTGATCTAATTTTGAGCAATTGTAAATCACTAGCCTCTTTCATACAAACATATATATACAGAATTCATGATACTTTATAAAATTCATTAAAATTTAAACGAAAACTCAGACAACGTAAGGTAATATCGGGATGAGTTTTTAACTGCTGTAAAAATTTCAATACAGCATCCTAAAATGGAAAACAAAATATATAGAAGTAAGTTCTTCTAGATAGAAGAATAGAACATGTCAATCAGAGTTGGCATCTGTACAAGTCAGAAATTCGGGAAGACAAACGGAAACCCATTTTCACTGTCTTATTTTGAATGTATATTTTTGATCCACAAAGTAACTGGCACTTTAGCTGTCCGATAATATGAGAAAGGTGACCTCCAGAAACTATAGATAAAAAAAACACTTAAAAATCTTCATGATCAGGATAAAACAGCCAAAAGTAGAAAATTTCTTAAAATCCGAACAAATTCCAGAAAAAAACTGGAATTTGTCCGGAAAATCCGGACAAGGTTGTCAGCTATGATTTTTTGCTTCAATATACATATACCAAGCGTTAGATTTCGTAACTATTAAGAAAGAAAAAACATACTCGGAATGTCTTTTTTAATATCTGTATTTCGCATTTGATTGTTTTTAATGCCGGTTTGAAAACATGGTGAAATCGTCGTAATTCAGCATCCTATTTTAACAAGTAAAAAAATTAAGAGAAAAAAAATGAATAATTATCGACATGAAAATAAAATTTTAAAAAAGATTAAACATTGTTCATACTTTATCCTCGTATTGTCGTTGTTGTTGATAACTTAATCGCGCCTCCAATTCATTATCAACAGTTAAAAATAACTTTTGTGTTAATGTATCAAAATTTAATATTAAATCAAATATACACCGTAATTGTTTTGCTAAATCTTGACTTTTTTCATCAGCATCTAATAATAAACGTATAATTATTTTTTCTAATGATTCATTATTTGCTTCCAAAATTTGTTGTAAATCTTTGGCATCTTTTAATTTAGACAATAAATCACTCCACGAACATTCTAATATTTCAAACATAATATAATAATTGATACTTTGAATAAAATGTGTCATTTCATTTGATATACCAAAACAGGTATGCATTAAATAAATTATTTCTAAAATAGAATAGAAATTAGAATTAGAAACTATTTTTAATGTTTTTCGGATTTTTATTTTGAAGAGTACACAAAATCAGTTAGCATGTTTAACTGGTGACCACGAATATTTTTGGTTAAGAGTGATAATAGTGAGATAATAATGGATATACCTGGTATCGATGAAAATCGTCTGGAATTTTTTATCAATTGTTTCCACACTCCACATGTTGTATATTCCACTCGTTTCACTCTCCATAAATGATTAAATATTCTCATGAATCTTAGTGTATTATCTTCTGTGAATATTGTTTTCAATGGTCCACCTAATTTATAATCTAAACAGCAAACATCCCAGCCTAACTCGGACGCTGATACATACATTAATCTTAGATCTAATCGTTTAATAATATCTTCTTTTTCAAACTGTGCATTCGTAACACGAATAGCCGAATCCATTAAAGGTTGTAAATTATGATAGAGTACTTGATTTGCCGGTTTATTTAACTCAACTTCCATTAGATCCGTTAAATATTTAATAAAATCACCCTGACCCAATAACAAATAACGTTTGATGGCTTTGAAATGATCCATCATATGATATTTTTCATCTAATATTAGTCGTAAATGTCGTGTTGTCTCATTATAAGCGGATATTATCATATCATGAAATTCTGTTGATGATTGTTGTTGAAATAAAGTTTCAGCTAATAAATGAAAAAAATAACAACAGTGACAAAACGTGATTTAATCAACAAGAAATACTATCTTACGTGAGGCTGGTATGTCAACAACTTGTAAAACTGTACGATCCTTGCATAATACACGTAAAAAATTGATTGATTTACCGGTAATCCAAATCTAAAAATGAGAAACGAAAGTATAGAGCTACTTTTATCTTCAACAACATTGTTGCTTACTTTTTCTGCTTGTTCGTCTGTGAGAAACGATGGTATCATAGACGTCCGTAAACTATACTTTTCATACCATAGGTTTTCATCGTCTATTTTCTTATCGACTGAAACAAAAAATTCTTGGTAAGGATCGTTGATTATTCCATTACATATCCATTCCACAATCATATCGCGTATGGGTATTGTACACTTATACAACAGTGGATAAACTGTTGATTGCTGTAACGAATCACCATGTTGTTGATGAGTATACAACAGTGATAGTAAAGCACCCCCTTTCTTTCCTTCAAACAAAACACTATGTAAAACAAAAGATTTATTCACTTTGTATGAAAGAAAACACCTTGATGTTCACTGATCGATGCGATAGATTTTAAACGCTGCATTGGTGTCGATAACCATACATGCAGTTTTTCCAACGAAACAGATCCTGCTGGATCAAACGCATTACCAAGCTAAGATCAAAGAAAAAAGTCTCAAAAGAGTGTGTTGTATATCCAGAAGTCCGGTGAATTCATGGCAGAAAAACAATTTAAGTCGATTTAAACGGTCTAAATAAACCTTCATGAAAACAGAACGTGTGTCAATCGAATTCTTTAATGAAAACTGGCAAAGTAAGTAAGTGTTCATACCGATATTATCGCTGCAGCAAATCTTTTCTCGAAACAAAGTAGAATGCTCTAGTTCTCTGATGTCGAAAGTGTATAGCTATTACCTGTTGCTCAATGACCGATACTAGTCGGTGATATTCGCGTAATTCGGATGATAAATTTGCTACAACTGCTTGTGAAACAAGTCCTGTTGTTGGTGAATTAATTATTCTTCGTATGTTTTCATATAACCAGTCGCATTCAAAAAATTGATTAACCAATGCTTTCGTAGAGCGATCAAAGGCCGATGTATTCGTTGTTTCATTTCCATTATTCCCATTAATATAACGTGTTTCGATGCCTTGTAATTGTGGTCCTGAAGAGATAGGCGTTCGGATAATAGTGGACAATGGAAGTGAACCAAGTAGTAGAAACTGCAGTGTCGTGTTTTTAAACTTAACTATTTTTCTGAATACAGTTATTCATTATGAAAAGAAATTCCTCATTCGCGCTAGGAAAAAATTTGATCTTGGTGAAGCAGTGAATAATGCGCTCATTTCATCTACTCACTAAGAATACCTTTTCTTTGTTAATGTCTTAATTTATATTTCAGACTGGTTCTTCATTTTGTGACTGTCAATCAGCCAACTTCTGAACGTGGCACCGACAAGAAACGGATCAAATCGACTTTGAACATGTGTTCAATTATAGAAATGTTTACCGAATGTGTAAGGTCGAAAAGAGACCATATTTACAAACGAGATGCTCATTCGCATGAGAAAATTAATAACCCATTAACGGCCAACTATCATGAATACTATCAGAAGATGGCGCACCTTGGCATGATTAGGATTTCTAGACACACTTGACTAATTCCACAGGTATCATATATTACTGCATAGAGACAGTTCTCCTCTGTAGTGTTGACATGTCGGTCAAAAAAGCGGGATCGGTTTTTGAAGAGTTCTACTAAATCTACGCAGAGTCAAGAGCGATGGTAACTATCAACATCGGCTCTTGAAAGATCGTGAGACAGCACATCTTGTGTAAATTGTAACTTGGAAAAAGAGTTCACTTCAACATTAAGCAATATCAACCCATACATACAGCTCGACCTCAGCTGAGCTCAAAGTCTGACATGAGATCCGTGGTCAGCGCCAATAACTGAGTAAGAAGATACACTGTTCAGAGTTTTCAAAAGGAGACGGCCACTGAACCTCTGTCTTATTTGGAAGATGACATTTTCATCCGGTTCAATGAGACGATTTCAAAAGATGAGTAGACAGTTTTACAGAACTCGATGTTTTCATTCAAACTATCCACATTGTTCGATGTCCAATTTTATAATGCGTTCTTCAGGTTTGTCACAGCCCGACACGGAAACTTGTTTCTCAGCTCTGTTTCCTCGCTATATGGTCGATGATGGCGCACCTTCATATGACTAGTATGTCCAGGCACACGTGACTAATTCTACAAGTGTCATGTGTTACTGAATAGAGAAGGTTCTCCTCTATAGCATTGACATGTCAATTTTTCAAATGCCTTCTTCAGGTTTCCAGACAACTCAAAAATGATTTTCGGATGTCGACTACTCTCTAAAAAAAAGGTATCTGCATTTGTTACTAATAAGAACCGATTTTCGTATCTTAGAACAACTTCTTCTGGTTTTCTAGGGTACATTTACGGGTATTTCTGATGCCACAGAACCAAAAAAAATATGTGCTCTAGCCGAATGTCGAATTTGTGCATTCCTTACGAGGCGGCTTCTGGACAAATACTTAGGTCTGACCAAAAGCTCTAAGAACATGAAATAAAAATATAAAAATAAGGAGATATTTTCAATCTTATTTCATCAAATGTTCACGATAGTTGTTATGATTATTTATAGCAAGTTCAATCTTTCTAATAGTTTATTAAAAGTTTCTTTTGAACTCTTGTTCGAAAAAAGTTTCAGATACCTTGGAAACCGCATAAACACACCATATTTCATTTATTTAATCAGTTTAACTCCGATCGATAGAATTGTTTAACCATAGATTATGTAATACTAGGTACAGCAAATACGGCGGACGTGTCATTATATTGATGCCTTTTGCTCTCAAATAATTAATAACATTGGATGAACATGAAGTCAACGATGATCGTTAAGCAATTTTATACATGTTGAACCTGATATCTGTTTGCTTCCGTGTTTCATTAACAAAAGGTTTTAGGTAATATTCAATATAATACTTATGACCTACAGTCTTGCCTTTATCTACACTATGTATAAAAGCAGGACCGTTTGATTTAAAGAATATATGAATCAAAGTTTTGGTTGAAATCTGTCTCCATGAACCATAGTCTTTGACGGATTATCTTCAATAAGCCGGTTAGCATCAGATGACTTATGACTAATCCATCTAAAATAAACCCATATCTCATCACTAGTAGTGCTAGCACGCAGCTTACATGATCTAACCAAATTTCGCTAAATTTTTAAAACAAATGAAATATGGTGTGTTTATGCGGTTTCCAAGGTATCTGAAACTTTTTTCGAACAAGAGTTCAAAAGAAACTTTTAATAAACTATTAGAAAGATTGAACTTGCTATAAATAATCATAACAACTATCGTGAACATTTGATGAAATAAGATTGAAAATATCTCCTTATTTTTATATTTTTATTTCATGTTCTTAGAACTTTTGGTCAGACCTAAGTAAGGAGGGACATTCCTTACATTACTTTCTCTTCAAATATCAGGCAGTATTTCAGAGTTTTCCAGCACTATTTCTTTAATTTCAACACTATTTCAAACATTTTCAAAATACTTCTAAGTTCGTTTCGAAGAAGAGATTTTTTCTTCCATTGTAAATTCGTAGCATAATTTAACATTTCAGCGCAATTTAATTGGTTCTCAATGATCAAAAAGAAGGGGAGACTCAAAAAACATCAAAACTTCGCGCGGCTCTTTCAAAAGTTCGTAAAAGAAAAGTATCTGTAATGGGAATCTACGAGAATTAGACCCAAAGACGAGTTAAAACTATAAATTCATCAAAAAGGTATTTTAGTTTGATAGCAAAAACCATTTTGGTACTGTGGGAGACCAATCACTCGTAACCTACTAAACCCTTTTTGGTATTCGAATAGAAATGACATACGCCCTATGGGTATTTTCAAGGGTGGAATACCCTTTGGTTCCTTAGAGTGCCGTTTAGTAGTAGTCGGGATACCAATTTTGGTTTTGTATTCCATACAACACCAAAATCCGTTTCGTGCACGGGACGAAATACCCTTTTGGTTTTTTAAAATACGTTTTTTTTAGAGAGTATGAGATATAGTAGTTCATCTTTCGTGATCTCTTTACTTCAGTATTCATTCCTAATGATCCTCATTTGGCCGAACCTAAAAAGCGGTAGTGCATATTAATCTGGTTGGCTGCTCTGTTTCATTTTTATCGTAGAAGTGCAAGATATAATGTTCGACGATCGAAATCAAAAAATATTTATTCACGTTCAGGTTCTCTATCTTTGGAATAAGGTGAAGAGTTTATTCTTTCACGAGCGAACAGAGCCTGAACTGTACTTTGGGAATGCATGATTGAGAAAAACGCGTATTTGTACGGCTAGCAGTTGGGTTTTCTAAAGGCTCTAAAAATGGTCTGTAACTTGAAAGGTCTTTCGTGCGTTTTGCCTGTTGCCATGTTCAAATCTCTGTTTAGCTAAGATCGAAAGCGCCAGTTCTTTGCGAAGCGAAGCCAATATTGACTTTCAGCACTTGGTTCTGGAAATTTTCTCCGTGCCGATGGTAATTAGTACTAGTGGAAACTAGTTGGTCTGTAACTTCCATAGTCATTCGCCTTTCAATTATTCTATAGCTTAAAACATCCAATTTTCCATGGGCTTCAAGAACATGTTAAAAACGTCGAAAAGGTTTTCTTCTAAAAGTTTTGCATGTCGATATTCTAAGGAAATACTAGAAGAAATGCATCCAAAATCTTACCATGTGATTGCGCAGATGCGACATAACCACTTGACAGGCTCTTCTTCTCCTTGGAAATTGCAGGTGTTGTTAGTGAGGGCATGTCGATCAACGGCGATGGTGGATCACAAGGCGGTGCGATTGTTTGATATGGAGCAGCTGTCTCTCGCAGATGAATAATGTACAAGTCTTTGGCTGGACTCCATTTACTCACTATCTGCAGATAGGTGCCGGGCATGAGTAGAATTTCATTCTCTGTCTTGTAGTAAGAGTGAGATCGAATAGCCTTGCCATTGATGCATTCAATGTTAAACAAGGTACGCACACCGTCGAGACCGACAAATCCTTCCATGACGTTCATCGTCTCCGTGCACGAGCTCGCACCCCACCATATTTGATCTTCATCGTATTGATCACTGATATTTCCACTAACACCACGCCAAATTGTGCCTTTGAATGATGGCAGTTTGTACAGTGCAGTAAGAAATAGTTTGAGATAGGAGAACCATGGTATTAGAGTATCTCGATTTTGAGAGCGAAG